CTTGAAACTTACACAATTTTGCTATTAGCATCTACTGTTTTGTGTTGTAAAAGAGAAACTGTAACCTACTCGGTTCATTTGTGGTTAGCTCTGGGGCAGAGGCCTTCAATAATTTTACAGATCTTCCAAGGCTATCATGATTGCTGGGAGAGTCCAAACCCAATGGGGTGGCCAAGACATGCACACCTCTTATTACGTTCATTCCCAGGGCTTCCTTGAATCACTACCTACATTTGACTTGCCCTTTTATTTCATTGTTTTCTCTCCATGAACATCTAGCAGTTCTTAGATTGAGTCCTTGTCTTCTTCCTTGGGCTACTTTACTCTCTTCTTTTCTTCTTTTTTCCCTCTGTAGTCCATATATTCATCATGTTTCTCCATCTGATGGATTCTACTTGAACATTGATGATGCATTTTGCCAAATTCAGACTTGAATTCTGCACTCAAAATGTCAGTGGCCTCCCCTTCTAATCTGGCATCAAGGGCTGTCTGCCACACTTATTCAGTTTCTTGCTGCTTTCTCAATGCTTCTTAATTTGTTTGGCTTTCCTAAATTCAACTTTCTTCATCTTTTTTTGAAAGCTGGAAAATATGCAGCTACACAACAACTTCTTAAATTTTGCTTTTTCAACAAGAGACCTCATGCAAGCCTCTTAATCCTCCTTTGGGTTTGTGGAATGTCTTGCTCCATCCTTTCAGGTCTTCCTGGCATATCCAGCTGTTTGTTTTGGTTCATTCATTCATGTTGAATGAAGAGAGACCTTCCCAGGCCTGAACTGCCTCTGCATTATTCAAGCCAGAGCACAACATCTTACAGCCTATCAGTAAAATTTCCCTCTTGAGTGTCAAGTAGATTCCTCGATGTGATTTGATTGAGCTTAGTGATGCAGCAGCTTCAGTTTCATATTGTCAGGAGTAACTTCTCCCTTCCCAGCTCCCCTGCCCCCCAGAGTGCCAGCATGCAGATCAGCCAGGCCTCCTTCCTCTCACCACCTCCACTTTCAGGGGGTACCGCTTGGGCTGCCAGTTCTTGATCTGCCTTGCTACTAGACAAAGCTTAGTTATTTGCTGTGAGAAGCACGGAGAGCGCAAGACTCATGGCTGGTACTGTCTCCAGTTCCTTCCTAATAAATTTAAGTTGTCTTTGTACTGGACACTGTGGGTCAAGTTACTCAGTGCTCAAGCCGACTTTTGCTGTCATCGTAGGCTTTGTGTTTGGCTGGCTTTAATATCGTTTTTATTTTCTTGCAATAGTTTTGATTCGAAGAGGGACATGTGTGCCTGTTTGCAACAAGACAGTCCTATTCCCTCCCCCGCCCCCCTTTTTGGGTTATATTTTTGTTATAATCAGGTTGTGACTCTTTGTTTTGTTTGTTTGTTTGTTTGTTTGTTTGTTTGTTTGAGACAGGGTTTCTCTGTGTAGCCCTGTTTTTTGACACAGGGTTTCTCTGTGTAGCTCTGGCTGTCCTGGAACTTGATCCATAGACAGAGATCCTCCTGCCTCTGCCTCCCCAGTGCTGGGATTAAAGAAGTATTTGCTCAAGTAATTTCTAGTTGAGGGTGGAGTGAGAGGGCTTAGTGGATAGCAGGGCTTTCGTAGAAGCCGGAGGCCTGAGTTCACTCCCTGGAGCAACAGTGAGGCAGGGCTGAACTCCGGGAAGCTGGGCTCTGAGTCCCACATGCACTTGGTACAGGTGTACACGCACTCCCATGCACAAGCATTACAAAAAAATTTTAAAGGAATTTCTAGTTGATTCCACTGATTTATGTGTCTTTTCCTTCAGCAGCAACAAACTGTGGCTTTCATTGTTTTAAATAGCATCCTCTGTTGTAAGACTTATCCCATGGACTGTGATTTCTTTTTCGGAAACCTCTGCTCAGTTCTCTGCTTCTTCTTTCAGAGAAACACCAAAATAAATGTTTACATGCCCCCCACCCCACTTACACAAACCTTCTCCAACACTAAAAATAATCTCTGAGACGTTAATGAAAGTGAGCTTACTGACTCTACAATTTAGGTTAGTAAGAACTCAAATTTACTTTTAAACTAGTTTTTGTCAGTGTAGTTTATGCTATCTGTGTTTGAGTACCAGCAAAGGTCAGAAGAGGGCAGTGGATACCCTGGATCTGGAGTTGTGAGCTACCCAAATTAGATGCTGGGAACCAAAGTCAGGTCCTCAGCAACAGAAACAGATACCCTTAACTGCTGAGGCATTTCTTCTCCACTTTAAGTAACGGTGATGACGCTGGAGAAGGAGGTCAGTGGAAAAAAGTCTGCCTAGTATTTGTGAGCCCCTGGTGCAATCCACAGAGGCGGTGTTAAAAAGGAAACAATAACAAACCCTTTAGCCTTGGATTTGATCCCCACAGCTACAGGGAAAAATCAAAAAAAGAAAAAGAAGGAAGAGAGAAAAAGAGAGAGCTAATCAATAATACCTGTCTTGATTATTAACGATTCAAGTATTACTTTACATCCCAAAGTAAACTTTAATGCTGTTTATGCCTCCCCAGTATATTTTTCAGTTAGAATCATTCCTAGTTGTTTTGTGTTTATGAAACTACTATAAGTGAAGTATTTTTATTGCATATTCTAGCTGATTGCTGGTAGAAAACTATTAATGAAATATTTTTTATTATGTGTTCTACCTGATTGCTGGTAGAAAACCGTTGGCGCCATTGAAATTTCTTTGGTTATCTCATTATCTGACTGAGCCCACTTTTTCTGTGTGAGGAGGATTAAATTCAATTCTCCTGGGTTTTCTGGGTCTGTGATCACATCATTTGAAGATAGGAACACGTCCCCACTTTGTCCAATAACTGCCCACGTTTTCCTGCATATCAATATCAATGCACGCTCCTGTTTGTATTCACCCCCTCGATCTCGACTTTCGGAAATTTGTGAGCCGCTTGTGTTTTGCCATCATTTGTGGCTGAAAGTGTCCCTAGGAGATTTTTAATGAGTTATAGCAACCAGCAGTAGATTTTTTTTTCTTCTTGCTGACTAGAATCTACTTGAACGCTGCATATTTATTAGATTTTTGATGTTATAAACAAAGTTTGGGTAGTTTACTTAAATTTACATATAAATCCTGCTGATTTTGATACACATTTAAAATAAAGATGAATAACCCTTTCTTGCTTTGATTCGTTTCTTCATATACCCATCTGTCTATCTATCCATCTCTCCTATATCCTACAGACCCTTGTTAGGGATGTGTAGTTCTGTTTGCATGATTGCTGTCCCCAAACGCTCACAGTTCAACAAGTGCTACCAAGCAAAAACATGCAGATTCATCAAGATCTTATTATGTACCAATTAATCCTAAGAAGTTCGAGGCACCTGTGACAGAAGAATTAAAGCAGGTTTCATTCATAGATGCTGTTTATTTCTTCCTGGAGACCCGGCTTCTTGGGCCCCGAAGTTTCTCATTTGAAGACAGTTTGGCATCATGCAGATAAATGGAGAGAATTTAAGCAAGTTTCAAGTGTGATAATTTTCTTCCTAAAGGAAATCCTTTTACTTTACAGAATAGTGACACAAATGTTCTCTGTAGAGATGGCATTGGCGTATGTACTAATACACAGAAGTGATCCTAAGATATTTTCTGGGAACCTACATTTCATAAAATGTGATAGATTTTTCTTGGGAATCATCAGTTTTTTTCTTCTAGACATATCCAATTTTAACTGTTAAATGCTGCTAAGAATCATTTAGCTATTTAGATAAAACTTTTATAACATTGAGCCACGTGCTGGTTTTCAACAAACTGACCTGTGGACTTGTCTGTGAGACTTTTTTTTTTTGATTGCTGATTGGCATGGGAGGGGCCAGTCCACTGTGGGTGGTACCATCCCTAGGCAACTGGGCCTGGGCTAATTAAGAAAGCAAGCTGTACAAACTAGAGGCAAGCCAGTCAGCAGCGTTCCTTCACTGCTTCTGTTTCAGTTCCAGTCTCCAGGATCCTGCCTTGAGCACCCACCCTGGTTCCCCTGGATGATGTACTATAACGTGAAAGTCAAATTAAGCCCCCCTTCCCAGATCTCTTTTGGTCATGGTGTTCATCATGTTTATGGAAGCAATAGAGACACAAACTAGAATAAACCATTTCCAAATTTTATAATAATTATGATTTTGATTTTTCTTTGCAGAAGCCACATGGAAATTTTGAAGCATTGACTACTTTAAATTTTAGAAAAAGAATGAGGGTTTTCGTTGTAAAAAAAAAAAGTCAGAAAGGAAGGTGTTTAATAACATTCTGAAGTCGGGCCCAAAAGATTTTGCTTGTACAAGTTTCAGTGAAACAAGATCCATGCTATTTGCCATGCCTCTGAATCTGAACATTTGACTTAAACTTCCCTTTTGGCATTTTTCTTCCCTCACGCGCCGTCCTTTATTTGTGAGGTAAGATTGGAGGACTCTATGATCCTCGGCAGTTCCCAGTCTCCCTTTCATTTACTGCACTGCATTCAGACAGATTTTAAGTTTGAAAGGGAAGTAGATATCCGATGGATATTTTGGAAGCAATCACGCCTCTTACTGAGATGCACAATTACAACCGAAAGGCTCGGCACGTAACTCTGCAGTTGCACACACAGCTGATTCCCGTATTTTTCATTAAATAAATTAGTGTGCTGGGTTTCCCAGCCTGGGTGGTGGTGCTGACGTCAGATTTTTCTCATGCCCACTGCAGGCCCTCAGCTCCAGAAGCAGCTTTATTACCTCCTCTGAGCAGGGTTAGAGAGTCAGACAGAATTATTAGCCATAATGAGCCCAGGCTTCTGCTTCAGGGTTAACGAAGAAAATCCCCACAGGTCTCAGGCCTTTCCCTGGAGATCCAGCCCTCTCTCTGAGGCAAGAGCATGGTTGCTAGCATGTCCAAGGTAGAAGAAGCCTGGCATGGATAGCTTGCTGATCAGTGTTGCTCAAGGGTCTCTTCTTGCAGCAGAGGAGGCGCAGGGCAGGAAGGGTTAACGAGCCTTTTTTTTTTTCTTTTATTTAGGAAGGCTTCCAAATCTCACTTTCTACTCCATCACCGTCTGTGCTTATCGGGAAGATACATTTCAAGCTACTCACCCTCCAACAACTTACCAACAACTCGAAATATAGCCGATCTCAGGTCTTTGAAAGCTGCAGTGTTTACGTTTGACTCTATCTGTTTATGTCTGCACCTGACAGCCATTGCTGTGTCCAGACTCGTCACTTGTGTGGTGGTAAACTGAGGCTGAGAGGGCAGTTGTGACTTGCCCCAGATCTCCCAGGCAGTATGTGCTGTGCAGAAGTTAAATCTCAGTTCTTTGAACTCCCAACTGTGTCCATTTCCGGCAGCTAAGTGAGTGTTCCATGGAGCACCCATCACACACACACACACACACACACACACACACACACACACACACACACCCTGGGTGACCAAGTGTGGAAGGAGAAGCAGGGAAAACTAAGCCATCAGTTTATGACAGAGAACAGTGAACACTTAGAGTGGACCCTCTCGAGGTCATAGATATTTATTATCTGCTTGGTTTAAAAAAAAACAAAAAGCAAAAAACTGGCATTGGAACCATGATTTGCAAAAGTTTGGAATGCTTGCTAGCTGAGTGTGATGAGGCACTAGTTACAGCAGCTGGTGGAGTGATGAACCAGTAGACTCAGTATTTGCAATTGATGAGTCATTCTTACTGGAAACGTGGAAACAGGCGGAGATGTCTATCCTTGCCAGCCGCTGCAGAATTGAACAGTGACCTACACCAAAATTTCCATAGACTCTTGCAGCCTTCCCAATGTCAGTCTTCCAGATTCTGTCATGGCCAGTGTAATGTCTCAGCAGTGAGTAGACACCGCCAGGGACCTTTCAAGGTGGATGTCTTGTCTAGGGTTCATGGCTGTGTCTCTGGACTCTTAGCACTGTGAGTTTAATTAAGCAGTGTCTTTCCTGTCAGAGGCATCCTGTTGTTAAACTGTGAGTGAGTTATTTCAATCACCACCGAGAAGACACATTTCGGTAAGCAAAACACCATTTATGCTCACATACACGGGGAGTTCTGTTGTAACCATAACAATCACTTAACATCGAATTGTTAGTTAAAATACTGTGCAAAATTGAACTTTAAAAAACAAAAGATTAAGGCATGGTTGCCCTTTCACACATGTGCTGATGACCAAAAGGAGACAGAAACAAAACACTTTTGGTTTTGGAATTTGCCAGACATATATCCAAAGTACTTAACTAAGTAGGTATATAATAATCTACATACCAGAGGAAAGTGGTGTTCAAATCCTTATTCTCCCTCCATCCCTCCCTGCCCCCTCTGTGTCTCTCTCCTTTCCTCCCCTTCCTCTCTCCCCTCTTCCCTCCCTGTCTCTCTGTTTCTCTCTCCCCCTCTCTCCTTCCTTCTCTCTCTGTGTCTCCCTTTCTCCCTCCCTCTCCTTCCCTCCCTCCCTCCTGCCAGCCCTCCCTCTGTCAGGTTTGATTCCATTCTAAGCCATTGGTTCTCTTGAGAAAGAGGCCAGACCAGTTTGAGATGCAAGCAGGCTTAGAGGAGCAATTGAAGTCGGCACACGGGAAGGGGGATGATAAAATCATCTCAGAAAATAATCAACAAGTAACCTGAGAGTTTGTCTTGAGGGTAGTATCGAAGGTTATGCTGGGTTGTTAATTTTCCAGCTCAGCAGTTGTCTCAAAAAACAAACAAACAAACAAAAAACAAAAAAACAACTTAAAGAGAAATGGTTACGTTTTTAAAAGAAATGAGGAAATGCAGTGCCATTGGGAGAGGGAATGCTGAGACTGAGCGGGGTCCACAAGCCGGTGAGCCCGGGAAAACCACAGTGCTCACATCTGGGTACTAGTTTTGCGTTGGGAAATCAAGGGCAAAGTCACTTGAGCAGAGAGCACTGGAGTTTACGAGGTTCTTGGTTCACAGATGTGACCCCCGTGCCTAGACCTAGGTGTTGCTATGGAAATAAATGTGAATAGTGGGCACAGCTCCAGTGTTGGGTGAACTCATCCACTCATCCACTTCCATCACCGTGGGCAGGGTTTAGGAGACCCTTGGCCTATTCCCTTAGTTTCCCCTTCCGTAAAGTGGGAAGAAGCCTGTTTGGCACCCCAGATGTGACGAGTGACCAGGTCCAGAACAGCCTGTAGTGTCGTCTTCTCTCTCTGCTGCTCGGTGGCACTCCTCAAACTGTTGGCCCATGGTTACTATGGCAACACAGCACAGGGTGACGTTGCTTGGGTTGCTTGGAAATAATGACAAGTGTAGGCAGCAGGGAAGCAGAGACGGTGGCAACTGGCCTCTGAAGAGTGACTGGGTCTGTGGAAAGTAACAAAGGCAGCTGTGCCCAAGTGAAGGGACAGACCAGGGAGCCCGCCCGCGTAAGGAGCCGCTGCTAGCACCCCTCCATCCCACAGCGGACACTGACATCATCTTGCAGTGCCCACATGTGCCTGGGCGTATAGATTGCAGTTTATACATAATTGCCTGGGTCATTTTATTCCTCATAGTTCAGACTTGAAACACAGTAACTATTGGTTGTTGGTTTCAGTATCTATCTGCTCAGTTTCCTTAAAGATGGATGGATTGTCGTCTCAAACCCGCTTCTGTAGCCCACTTTATTCTTGTGGCTGAGTCATTCCATGTCAATGGCAATTAAAACACGTATGGCTGGAAACTGACTTTTCACTTCCTTTCTTCTAAAGTTGAGTGAAATCACTGTAAACAAGATTTATTTATTTATTTATTTTGAGCTATTGTCAATCAGTTTCTTCCTGTTGCTCCTCAACTCCTGGGTCTGTTCTTCACTCAAATGGTAGGGCATGGGAAAGACTTGCTCTCAATATCATCATCCATATGTCTCAGGTCTGTCCATGCAGTGACCTACATGGTTCAAACAAGATAGTGGTTCTCTGTCTTTCTAGGGTCTCAGAAACCCATGGAATGTTCCTTCCTCATAGCTCATGTCTGGTTCTGTTCTAGGATTGCTGTGTCCTGAACAAGTGTGTGGGGTTGGTTGGATGTGGCGAGAGGCCAAGAGCTGGAAGGCTCTCAATGTGATATCTCCACCTCAGAAAGCGCACCCGGGGTCCTGCCTTACAGGAGGCCACTCTCTGAGGCCTACCCCGGAGACTTGTTGATCCACAGGGCTGTGCAGCTGCTAGACAAAGCCAAGCCAAAGAGGGGGCCGTGGACTTCTTCATGGCCTCTCAGGGTCAACAGTCACTTCCCCAGACAACCCAGAGCGCCAGTGTAACTGCCCTTGACATTCAGAAGCCCTCCCCCCAACTGCGCCCTCAACAACCCCTTCCACTGCACAAGGAAGACTGAAATGACCTCTGTGCAGGGCCTCCATATGGAAATAGCCTATGTTCTGTGTTGGTGGGAGAGCAAACAAAAGGAAGGATAATTCAACCAGTGAGGAGCCAGTCTCCGGATCCATGTCCCTCCCGCAGTGCAGTTGAGGGACAGTCTGCTCAGTCCTCTCTGTCCCCTTCCTTCCTGACCCTCCTTAGGTGCCAGGTGTAAGAGGAACAGCACCAGCCACCTTTTATAGTGCTCCCTCTGTGTTCTGCAAATGTCTCCCTTCCCATGGCATACGCTCCCATTAGATCCCATGGCTCAGAGGGCCTGCTAACACATCTAGGCCAAACACAGTCGCGCTGATAAGATTTTTCACAGGAGTCCCTAAAAATACATTTCTCCTTAAATCATCCTTGCAAGTCACCAAACAGCCATAGAACTTGAAGGACAGGAGTGGCTTTAGGAACTGCCAAGCCCCCTCCCTCTCAAAGCCCAGAAACTGGATTCCTGGGGAGCAGAAATCACAGCAGGAGCAAGAGAGGCCAAGGACTATTTCAAGTCCCATCATGAAGAAGGAACAAAGCAAGCGCCCTGTCAGAGCAGGCACAGACTATGAGCTCTGGAGTCTGTCCAGCCGTGTGTTTGCCCATTCATCTTCTGGCTCCCCATTCAGTAAGGATTTGTCCAGTGTTTGCTGTGTCCCAAAGTTAGAGGCTTTGCTAGCGGTCAGGGGATACGCACGGACCCTGTCCCTTTCTCAAAGCCACTACACTGAAGCTATGAGATAACTACCTGAGCAGTGAACACTGACGAGGGCTTCAGAGGGAGATGTAGCAAGATGAGCCTGCATGAACCAGGGGCCTGATGCAATATTACATCAGAAAGGCTTCCCTGTAGGGTGACCTCCAGGGTGCGGCTGTCTGGGTGAGTATTCCCAGCGGAAGGATCCATGAGGTTAACGCTTGGAGGCAGGATGTGTCTGGTTACCCGAGGACACAGATAAGACCAGAATGGCTGGAAGGGAGGCAGAGGTCATTTTAGACAGGTGGTCAGAGAAGCCGTGAGGCCTCCATGAAGGTCTTTGCGTTGCAAACCATTGTAAGGTCTTGACTGGGATGTCTAGGGCTGTGGGCAGACAGGCCATGAGCTTCCTTTGTGCTGATTTGTTTGCGGGGCTGTGGCAGAGGGTTGGGAAATAGTGTGGGCAGATGGCTTGAGAGGTCACAGCACAAAAACACACAGGAACAAATCGGGTGGCTTGGGTGAAGATGGAGAAGCCCAGGAGATGATGGAAAGCAGCCGGACCCCAAGGAGCTAGGACGGCGGCACCCATGTTGTCTTTGCATTGCAGGGCGTCTGGGGGAGGAAGAAAAGGACAAAGGAGAAAGAGAGGAGCGGACGAAATAGGTGTCTGGGAGACATCATTGTCTAAAGCTGTAAAGATCCACCCTGAGTTTGACACTGCAAGACTGGACAGAGATGTGCGTAAGCTGAGGCCTGGTGGGTATTGCAGGCTGCTTGCGTTCCAGCCCTCCCGCTGGCTCCCACGCGCCTCTCTCTTCCAGGCAGCGCAGGCCACCAGGCATGAACTCTGTGATAGTTCTCATGCTTATTACCTTCCACCTGAGAAATCTTATCGCAAATGATGCTGGGTAAATGTTTGTTCTAAAAGCTCTGCCTGGTCTTATCTCACCATTAAGTATGCTAACCTGGGGTGAGAGCTGTTATCCTGGTAACCTGTGAGTGGGTCCACACTGCACTTCCTCCAGCACCGCCTGACTCTCGCCTTCCTCTCGGTGACATTGTACTCTGTGCGAAG